GTGTGCTTTGGAAGGGGGAGCCGGGGGGAGAGTGTGGGCTCCTGAGAGCGCCTCAGAGGCAGCCCCCTGGCGTGGGTGAGGCGGTGTAGGCGGGTACAGCAGCACAGCGACGCCCCCTCCCCCAGGAAACCCTCTGTGACTGGCACTGAGGTCGCTGAGTCTCCCCTCTGGTCACCTGAACTCCCGATGTATGTGCTTCCAGCCTCTAGTGGGCCTACCGAATTCAGGACTTTCCTCCCAATTCCCCAACACAGCAACGACGACGCCAGACAAGGCTTCGCCTGCAGTGGGTCGGAACTCGGACTGCGAGAATATTCTCAGTATCAGACTGAGGGGCTTTGCAGGGGGCACGCGGTACTTGCAGCCCCGCTTGGTGACAGGGGGATGGCGACGCGGTGAGCTGGGATGGAGGGCTCCCCGGGGATGCTTTCATCCAAAGAGGATACCTGTTTGTCCTTGGCCCTGCCAGGAGGGTCAGGAGAGTGCTGAGCAGAATTCAGCCAGGTATATGGACAGGAGGAAAAGGAAGGCTGGGGCAGAGGGCTGAGGGGATATGAGTAGGCTTGTGCTGTGGAGGGCAAAAGTATCCAGTGCACAAAGTGTTTTCGAGGGGGTTCTCTCATCTTTTGGTTGCTCTTCTGGCTCTCTTGTTTGGGGCCTCTTTCTCCTCCCCATTCTGACTCCTCCGGGCCCTCCTGTTTGGGGGGAAAAGCTCAGATATACCCTCGCCCTGGAGGCATATGTCCTTCCCACACAGTTAGTGCTGGGAGAGCGGGGCCCAGAGAGCAGTGCAGCCTCCACAGACAGGCAGCTCCAGTGGTGGGATTTCAAGCAGTGTGGGAGGACACAGAGAATATTCCGGAAGGAGCGAGACCCTCAGCCTCACCTCTGCCTGCCGGGTGGGCAGTCCTGGGTGATGGAACTATCTGTGTGAACCTGGGTCTCTCAGAATCCCAGTCAGGGAAACTGAAGTCCAACTGATTCGTGTCCAAGACTCTCTGCTACGGGGTTCGGTGCCTTGTCATACCTCTGCCCGCCTCCCTGATCTCTCCCCTCCCGGCCAAGTGGGGAGCTAGGTCTGGCGCCTTGGTGCCTGGGGACCTCCCTGGACCACATGTGCTTAGAGCAGCCTAGCCTCAGAGCCAGCAGGCAGGCCTGACACAGACGAGGAAGATGTGTTTTCTCACAAAACCAGGACTAACATTTTGGCTTCTCGCTGGGGTGTTGGAGTCTGGTGGGGTTTTCATACACTTGGGCCTTCTCTGCTTTTCATTGAAACACAGCATCACCCACACAGACACATGGACACAAAGACACACACTTCTACACACACACACACACACCCTCCCAAATACACACACTCGCTTGTATACACCAGACAAACACAGAGACGACACAAAACGATGCAGTCTCACACCTACACGAACACACGCTCAAACATTCCCAAACACACACATTGACACACAGTCCCACACCCACATCCACACAAACACACATACACACTCATCCACGCCTAGAAATGTCGCACGCATGTGCACACACAATCACTCATACGGCCCCAGCTTGGAGAAGACCCCCCCCCCATCTTTCCTCTTGTTTGAAGCGAGGTTAGAAGTTTCCCACCTTCCGGGAGACTCAATTCTCACTCTTCGCTCCATAAAAATCCTCCTAGCCCCATCTTTTATTGGGTGCTGTCCAGCTAGTGCTGTGTCTTTAAGGAAGTTGAAGCTGCTAAAAGTGAGTGAGAGAGAGGGAAAAAAAGAAAAAAATTTTGGCATCTCTTCCCCCTCGAGTTTCTGGTGTCACTTATGAAACACGGGTCCTTGTTGCTGCAGAGAAGCAGTTGTTTTGCTAGAAGGAGGGAGTGTCCGGGCTGTCTGGGCTCCCTTCCTGCAGCCTGCTCTCAGCGAGGCCCCAGGCACCCTGTCTGGGGGAGGGCGGGCACGGGCGAGCGGTTCGAAGGTGGGGCAGGAACCAGGGTGCCCCTTCCTCCAGCCTCCGCATCCTCCCTGCACGCCCGGTGGCCCCGCAGCCTGCCCTGGGCCAACTCTGTCTTTTGTTGGTCTTTGGTCCCATCTTAGAAGTGGATCCGCTTGGCTAAGAAAGAGTAGTTTGAAGGTAAGCCAGCGGGAAAGGGGGAGGCCTGCCGGGCACAGAGGCTCGACTGCCTGGCACTTTCCCGTCGGTTCGGGGTGCTTGGGACAATCCCTTATTTGGATGTGTCCAGGGGGCGTCTGCCCCTCTAGCAACCGCATCCCCGGAAATCCCGGCAGCATTTGGGTTGAACCACTGGCCTCCCCCAGGCCAGCTGAGAGGTCCTGGCGGGGGTTTATTTAGGCAGCTGCCTGGCGTAGTCTGAAAGGAACAGGCCACGGGTGTGATTCTGTAGAAAGGGTTTGGTGTCTGCTGTGGTCATAGCCTGTAGGAGCGGGAGGGGGGCGGATGGGGTGGATGGGGGCGGTGTGCA